CTCCCTGCATGTTTCTTATGCTTGAGATTTGTTGAGTTTCTTGGATCTGTGGGTTTATAGTTTTCATGGAATTTGGAACTTTTCAGCCATTATTTCTTCATATACTGTTTTTGTTACTCCCTGTGCTATGATCTGGAAACTCTCCCTAGGTGGTGTCTGGGACAATCATGAGGCTTACCTCTATGCTTCCCCTTTCTCTCAGGTATTACTGTCCTTTGTTGCGTGATGTCCAGTGTTTCGAAAACCATTGTTTCATCTGTTTTGTGCTATAATTGTTTCAGCAGGAGGGTAAATCTAGTGTCTATTACTCTAATTTGACTGGAAATAGCAGTCAAATACTTTTGACATTACCGAGAAATTCAACTGTTATCTATATTAAAATCCTCACTTTTACATAATGTCACTTTTTGAACTTGACAAGGCAAGAATGAATGTGATAGTTGATGACTACTTGCTAACCATGGAAGGAACTGCGAGCTTAGCCTGAATAAGGAAATATAAGAGCTATTTGACTTTGGGTTTCTTTTTTTAACCTCAAATTTTTTTTTTCTTTTTTTTTTTTTGAGGTGATGTCTCCAGCTCTGTTGCCCAGGCTGCAATGCAGTGGTACAATCTCGATTCACTGCAACCTTCGCCTCCTGGATTCAAATGATTCTCCTGCCTCAGCCTCCCTAGTAGCTGGGATTACAGGCGTGTGCCACATTGCCCAGCTTTTTTTTTTTTTTGATGGGAGATAGAGGCTTGCTCTGTCACTCAGGCTGGAGTGTAGTGGTGTGATCTTGGCTCATTGCAACCTCTGGCTCACTGCAACTTCCACCTCCCAGGTTCATGTAATTCTCCTGCCTCAGCCTCCTGAGTAGCTGGGATTACAGGTGTGAGCCACTGTACCCGGCCTTCAACTAATTTTTGTATTTTTAGTAGAGATGAAGTTTTACCCTATTGACCAGACTGGTCTCAAACTCCTGGGTATGAATGATCCACCCACCTCGGCCTCCCAAAGTGGTAGGATTGCAGGCATGAGCCACTGCAGCCCAGCCATAACCTCAGATGTTACTTAGAGAGTCAGATTTTATCTCACTATAAGAATACACTTTTTTTAAAAGAGGATAGGGTACATTCTTATTTTACTCTCATTAAGATATAATTTACATATCGTAAAAGTCACCCTTTTTAGTGTTTTCACAAATGTCTCCCTCCCTACTCTAATCCCCTGGCAACCAGTAGTCTGTTTTCCATTTCTATAGTTTTGCCTTTTCTAGAAAGTCTTATGAATTCCAGAATCTTACAGATTGTAGCCTTTTGATTCTGGCTTATCTCACTTAGAATAATGCATTTGAGATTTATGTATGTTTGTATCAGTGATTCATTCCTTATTCTTCTTGAGTCATATTCCATTGATTTGCTGTATCACACTTTTGTAGTATCACTGGCTGCCAAAATAGGCACAAGTAGTTGAGTATATTTGAGGATGGCATAGAAAGGATTTAGCCCTATTCTGATGGGAGATTTAATGACCTCAAAACTTCATTTCATATCTGAAGTCTTGAAATGGCAATGTAAATGTTTTTACTTGGCAAGTACAGGTTATTCACTTGACTTAAGAAGGAGATATATTGGAACATACTATGTTACATACACAGATCCTGAATTTGTGGTCAGTAGAAACAAGATGTATTTGTTTTCCCTTAGCTTGGGGACAGCGTTTTTGCCCCCTTCCTTTTTTTTTTCTTTTTTTAAATTTATACTCTCTTTGAAGTTATCACAAAGTAATTAGCTTCTTTTTGGAACTAATTTAATTCCCCTTATTTTCTACCCGTCTCTGTGGTCTACTCTACTTCTGTTTCTTTCATATGTCACAGAACTAAGCCTAGTTATTTTAAAGTTGTTTTAGGAGAAAAACAAACATGCAAGATTTAATTCTTGTTTTTTATTTCTCTAATTTCCTATTGTAGTGATAGCATGTGAAGGAAAATGCTGGGGCTCTGGAGTGAAACAGAAATTCAGCACTTACAACTGTGTTTCTAACTAAAAAACCTGAAAATTACTTTCCAAAACTCAGCTTTCTTAGAATCTTTAAAATGAGGCTAAATACCTACCTTTGAGGTTATAAGGAATAAAAGAGATAATATATGTATTTTTAACACCGTATGTAGTAAATACTTAATTTCTTTTTTTTCTTTTTTTTTTCTGGAGACGGAGTCTTGCTCTGTCACCCACACTGTAGTGCAGTGGCATGATCTCGGCTCACTGCAACCTCCGCCTCCCAGGTTCAAGCAATTCTCCTGCCTCAGCCTGCTGAGTAGCTAGGATTACAG